GCTCTCCGTGAACTCCATGAACTCCCGTGTCATGAACTCCGTGAACTCTATGACCGGCTTCGTTCACAGACCCCGTGAACGGTGAACGGGGGTACGGCACTGGATGGTTGTACCGCATCCGTTCATGAGGTATGACTGGGTAAAGACGGCGCATGAGGAAACTGCAGCCCACTTCGCCGTGTGGCGGCCATCGATAAGAACGAGTGGTATTGGTCCAATATCCGCGACGATGTTAAGCTCATCGTCCAGAACTTTCAAGTCTACGCTGCTGACAAGGCGCCAATCCGGCCGCCGAGATCGATAGTACCAACGGTAGTTGAGCGGCCGTTTCAAAGGGTTAACATGGATACTACCGATATAGTGGTGCCCCCTGGACCCAATAGCTGTGAATATTCAATCCTACTTGTGTTCATGGATCATTTTTCAAAATGAATTGAGGCATATCCCTGTCGTACGCGACAGGCGGTCGAAATTGCGCGATACGTCAATCGGTTTTTAGGGATGCACCAGGACACTGAGGAAATTTTGACCGATAATGGGGTAGAATTAAGGGGGGAAGTCTTGAGGAATCTGGTCATACATGGCGTCGCTATTCGGAACACCGCGCCCCACATGTCGCAATCCAACGGGCTGGTAGAAAATGCTGATAGGGTGATAAAGACTGCGCTGCGACGCAATATCGCGGCACGGGATCCCAGACCCTGGCCCGATATCGTAGATCACATCTTGGCGGTCCATCGAGGAACGCCCCACGAATCTACGGGCCTGAGCCCCTTCCAATTAAGGACCAATAGCGTCGCTTGCGTTTCGATACCGAGCCTCCCCAATGAATCAACGCTGAACCGACGACCCACAAGGGCCATGGTTCAGGACAAGGCCAAGCAACACTTAGAATTAATGGAACGGTCCCTCCCCAGGCTAGCCCGAAAGCGTCAGAAAATGACCGAGTTGGCCCACGACCGACAGGTCCGAAGCTACGAGGCCCGAAATAGGAACGCAGGTCCACGACCCCATTACAAATTGGGGGACATCGTGCAGGTGAGGAAATGTGCTCGTCAGGGTAAGCTAGCGCCACGATTCTTTGGGCGATTCCGCGTGATTGAGCTCGGATCGAACGGCGTTAACACCGTGCGGTTTTCGCATGAGGTCTCCGGCAGCCGATCGGCTCGACCGATCACCCGCCAGGTGTCCTATCTACGTCCCCTTCCTTTTTCCCCATCTCCGCCTTCATCCGTCCCCTCCTCCGTTGCGGAAGAGGACGACGACTGCTTATCACCTGTCTATCCTTCTCCATCTCGTTCTCTCTCAGGTACCCCGTCCCCGCCACCATCACCATGAGCTTTGGAACAGAGCAAGTGATCGGTGCGCGACTACTTACTCCGAGGGGGCGAATCAGCGTCATCAAGGAAGTGCAACGGCCCCATCTCTGCGCTGATCTCCTGCGGTTCGCAGCCTTCTTCAGCACGATGGCAATCCACGCGGCGGCGGAGATCCAATTCACGGAGGCGGAAAGAACGCTTGTTCAGGCCGAGGTCTCAGCCTTTCAATGATTGTCCCCTCCTAGGACCAGCCACGTTAGTGTCGTCATCGTCTTCAGGGGGGACATCACAGCGATTCCCGAGACGATTCATCCCGACATCTATCGGACTCTGCGCGCCTGGGCCGAGGAAGTGCGCACGGCGTGGACTACACTCCTTGCTCATCGGGGAGATACCGTCTTGCCATCACACGACACCGACTTTCAGCTCCGCTCATCCCGAAGCTCGCCGACGATCGTACTTCCAGAGCTTCGTCCTTTCGCGCCGCCCCAATGAGTCGTCGCCGCCTCTCCTACTTCGGCCGTCCCTCCAGTATCCCCACTCTGTGGCAGTCTGCGCGGGCCCCTACTCTCTCCTATCGTATTAAGGAGACCAGCGCGCCTCTATTGGATGAAGAGAAGTGAGAAGCGTGGTGGGAGGACTACATTGAGCTCGTTTTCTGCTTGTTGGAGATAAAGTTCCGCTGGTCAGAATCGACACCATTCGGAGAAGGACTAGAGCACCCAGAGGACAGCGTGGAGCTCCTAATCATCCTGGCCTGGAGGACGGCAGAGGAAGGCGATCTGCTGGGGATCGTATTTGGAAAGGTGGAGGAGGGAAATCTCGCCCTGATTACGAGCGAGCCGTTGGTGTTCCTGACCCAGCTGGTGGATGATCTGCACTTGGACATCTTGTCGCGGCGCGACGAGCAGCCCGACACCCACATGCTGTCTCGGACGCTCGAGCCGCACTTGGTGTGGTCCACGTGTACAGAGATCGACGAGGACAACTATCTCTATCCCTCCCAAGCACTTTACCTTGAAATCGACGTCACCGATTGCACGTTTTGGGACCCGATCGCGCGGAGAAATGCGGCGCAAAACAAGGAGATAGAAGTAGTGAAGGAAGAAGAAGAAGAAGAAGAAGAGGAGCTATCGAGTGAAGGGCGGGACGACCCTGACTACGTCCCGGAGAGAGAAGCGGGGGTAGCGAGAGGATCGAGCCAGCATCGCGAAAAGAGCGAAGAGGAGGAAGAGCAAAAGGAGCGAAAGCGACGGGAAAACGCGGAGGGTAAGCGACCCGTGAAGGAGGGAACTCCTATTGATCTGTGAAACCGCGCGTTCATTGAACGCGGGTTTTCGGTTCAGAAATTGAATGGAAAGCACGCGCGTTCAATGAACGGGACCGAACGCGGAGTTCAATTCCGCGCGGAAAAAAAAAAAAAAAAAAAAAAAAAAAAAAAAAAAAAAAAAAAAAAAAAAAAAAAAAAAAAAAAAAAAAAAAAAANCTCATTTCGGGCCCGGTTGTATGCCGTCAGAATGTTGCGGCGAGGTCTGTTTCCGCGATCCCTCTCCGCAGCAGGCCAAAATGGTTCCAGTCCTCTGAACGACCGGAAACGACGGTCTCTAGATGCGCTCAGCGCACCCATCCATCTTGCTGTCTTTGGGGGTCACTCTTAAAATCCAGTGCGCCCAGAATCAGGGGTACCCTGAGTTCTCATAATTCTTGCTGCCTAGTCGTCCCAAAGCACTGTCAAAACGCGGTCTTAACCCTGAGCCTAAACCCCTAAACTGTCGTTTTCAGGCGGCGCACTACTTGTGGCCGCCTGACAACGTGCGGAGTGCATGTTATCGCAGGCTCGTTGATCTTGTGCAGTGCTCTCTTTACTGCCGCCATTTCATATTTCATCAGCTTTATCTCGTCCACCTCCTTCCGCATCTCTGAGACTAGCTTCTCCATCCTTTCTTGGTTTGTTACTCGTGCGCCTCCATTCATAGTATTGATGTTCGGTGTTTGTTGACTGGTCCCTGCTCCAATTGCTTTCGGAATCGCTGTCTCAAGTGTCTTGTCAATCATCGCCTGTACTTGTGCTGGTGATATACGTCCATCCTCCTTTGCGTTCGCCTTCTCAGTCGCTTTCTTCTCTTTCTCTTTCTTGTTATCCCCCTCGCCATCTTTCATCTTCTTTAGCTCCTGTACCACCTTTGTCAAGTCCCCAATCTTCGTCAGCAGCAGCTCGTTTGTCTTGCACAACTTGTCATAGTCCCTCCTTAGTGCAAAAATCTCCTCCTTCAGATTGGCCGTGAACCAAGCTCGATTTCCCGGTGGGGGGAAATCGTTTCTTCTGATCTCCCATTGCGGTTTCACGTATCTCTTTGGTGACTCCGATGCCGCTCTACGTCTTCTTGAAGATCTGGATCTTGATCTTAAACTCTCCTTGCGTGGAGACCTCGAACGTCCTCTGTGTGAACGGTGGTTGTCCTGCGACCTTCTCGGTGATGGAGATGAGTATCTACCCCGCCTACGTTCCGGTGTGCGCGAGCTCGCCATCCTTGGAAGTCCTGGAGTGTAGGAAGCTCCTTCACAGCGCCACAATAATCATGCGTCAGGATGTTACATACCAGTTGATGTTTACGAACAATAACAACACCGGATTAATTCGCAATGATTGGATAAACAAATTAAGAACCGATGGCTTCGTCTCAGCGAGAGTTCCGACCTGCTACATAAAAATGACAATCTCCAATATACCAATCTCCAACTCGCCAATCTCCACGCGCCGAATACTGAAGTACAGATTCGAGGAAGCACTAACAACGACCAAGGGTTAGTACTAAAAACACGTACGTAATAAAGAATGAAGGTAAAAAGTCCATACTGACCTAATGCAGTGCCGATCTTCACGGGTACCACCCGTGCGTTCAAAGCACCGTGCGTCGATATAACACTTGCGAATTGGACAATACGTGCGAGGCTTTACTCTCACAGAATGCACGTCCTGCCCATAGCATGTGACAACAACAAGTCGCGATCACCCTTCTTCTGTGTTACCGCGCGTTCATTGAACGCAGGTTTTCCGTTCAGAAACTGAACAGAATGAACGCCCGTTCAATGAACGCAACCGAACGCGGAGTTCAATTCCGCGCGGAAAAAAAAAAAAAAAAAAAAAAAAAAAAGTCAACAAATTCCGAAAAATAAATATGTTATGAAGAAAAATAAAATAAACAACATTTGCCTGAGCATTACATCTAAATTCGTTGCCAAATTAGAAAAAAAATATAGAAAACAAAAAATAAAAAAAAGTAAAAAAAGAATTGAAATTAGTAAGCGAACACGATTTGACACCCCCATCTTTGGCGATTTTTCATTTTTTTTTTCCTTAGCAACATGACTCCAAAATTAAAGAGGGATGTACCTCACATCATGCAGAACTCATAAAAAAAACCTCAGAAAAATAAAATTAGTTTTAGGCATTAAAATGATTTAAAAAAAATAATAAAAAAATTTGAACGCCGTTCAATTTTGAACGCAAACGAGCAATCCGCGTTCAAACGCACATTTGAACGCGAACGCGCATTCACGGCATTCAAACGGTTACACAGCTATTCATCCATCTATAGGAGATCCGTGGCGCTATCCGTAGCCGCCTGAGGAAGAAGACGATGGAACCGCCGCAGAGGGATCGCGACGGCGAAGAAGAAGAAGAAGCGAATCGCGGGTTTCATCCAGCTCCACACCTTGGCCTTCCGTTTGTCTACGTCAAGATCTCGGCGTTCGGGCTTCGTCCCCGGTCGTTCTCTCGCCGACCCCGTGATTACCTCATGCTTACCCGCCTCCCTGGGAGACCTCTGTTCCCTGATGGATGGTGTCCTTTCCCCCACAACCTTTTCTACCATCTCTACGCTACCCGCCTTCTAGTCTCCGTCTTTGCGCATGCCACCACCCGCTTTGTAGTCGATTCCTTCCTCCTTCATGTGCTCATGTTCAGCGCGGACTGGCAGAAATATAACCACGTAGAAATATGCTGTGTTATATCCGGAGCTATCCCCGCCTGCGAAGACTATGAGGATTTCTGCGCAGCCTTGCGTCGAACCCTTTCTACCATCTACCGTGACTACATTGCCGCTTTTCGCCATCTTCACGAAGACCCTCGCTTTCCCCACATCCACCGCTCCTTCCACTACGCTACCCTTCCTGCCTTCGCCTCCCCCGCCATCAATCAGTTCATGCCCCCTCTCCCCCTAAACCACCCGCCACCACCACCATCGATGATCCGGTTGCCCTTCCCCAGGAACGTCTGATTTAGAGTGTCTACCCTCCTTTTCTCACTGATGCATGTGTGATTGACACGTGTCACGGTGACAACACGTGTGATCCCCTCCTTTGATTGTCAATGGTCCTTCCTGAGGAATTAGTAGTTAGAGTTGTGTTGCCACAATGGATGACTTCCACACTCATTCACACGATAAGTGGCACAAAGGGGAAAGCTTCGGGTGTCGATCGATTAGAGAGATCGACACGTGTCAACAAGCAAGCAGGAGCTTGCTAATATTGGAACCCCCTGGGCGTCACATATATGACGAACCGATTTTCGCACCGCACGATTTTTTGCGAGGTAGCGACGAGGGGTCCTAAGCTGGGATGGATGGGCCAATTATGGGAGATTGGGATGGATGGGAAATTGCATTGGTGTCCTCGCTTCTTCGTCCTTTTTCGTCGTCTTTTCGGACGGTTGGGCTCGGTCCCGGGTGAGCCCCAGGACGATCGATTGGTTGATTGGCTGTGTGAGGGGCGCGCCGTCATAAGCGCGATTACGGATTTTTGGGCGCGGACATTGCGCGGGAATTTTGCTTCGTTCTTTTCAAAATTTCTTTTGAATTTCGTTTTCGAATTTCCTTTTAAATTTTGTCAAGCCTCTACAGCTCTCGGGACTTCGGATTTTCTTTTCGGAATTTGGGTTTTATCTCTTTTTGCATTAGATAGGAACTTAGAAATTTAGGAAATTGCAATTTCTTTTTGTGCGCGCTGTTTTTCGCTTGCGCGCTTCTTTTTGCGGTTGTGACGGAGTTCTGATTAGCTGGCGCCCTTAATCTTGTGTGTAACTGTAATTTGGGTGGGCGCCATTGTAACTGTATCTTTCTTCTTGAACTTCGTCCTTCCCGCCCTTCTTCTCTTTCTTTTTGCTATGTCTTGGTAGCCGCGGTCTGCATGACCGGATCAATGCGTGGAGAGTGGCTACGTCCCCCACGTCGCGATCTGGCCATGCAGACGTAGGCAATCCCTCCCCCTTCTCTCCTCCCAAGTGCTTGTAATTTCGTGTTCTTCGCGCATGCATGCACGCTATAAATTCCGGCTGCGCGATTAGTTAGCTCTCTTAACTAGTTGTTGGGAGCTCGGGGTAGCGCGATCAGTGAGGGTCGGCTCACGAGCGAAGTAAGAGGTGAGCTGAAGTGGGAGTCGGGTGACCTGATGAGCTGGTGCCAAACGCGCGGGGTTGACACGAGCCACGACGGACTGTGGGCGCGGGCGAACCTGACAGGTGCGGGAGGACGAAGCGGGGTGACGACTTCGTGGGTTGGTGCGCGACGACGGACTGTCCGCATCGGAGAGAGAGAGAGAGAGGAAGAGGGAGTTGAATTTGATGGACGCGGATTTGCTGTTTCTTTTGTCTTTTCTCCGTCTTTGCTTTTGTATATAAGTTTTGATCTTGGCCAAGGGTGATCCGCCCGTTTTTGTTTTCGGAATCTTGACTTGGTTTCGGCCCACACTCGTTTTTGTGATTTCAATCTCGGATATGGTGTGTTATGCTGAATGAATGGATGAATGGATGTTATGTCTGTTTGTTTTTCCTTATGCTTAATCTTTGCCTTTGCTTGTTGTCTTGATACCCTCATGAGCATAGTAGGAGAATTCGCGAAAGCCTCGCTGTTGCTATCTGCCCTTTTTGATCTATTGCTGTACTATGAATGCGTAGTAATACCTTACATATTCAGGGAGGATTGCGTGCGAGTCATGGGATGATTGGATGATCAGGCGGTTGTTCGCCCAGAAACCAGCGAACACCTCGCGGAGATGCGTGTAAGTGCGATCTGATCTGCACACTTACACGTGTCCACGCGTGTCGATTCGTAACCACCCACACATAAAAAGGGCTAACGATTGCGGGGATATTGATTGATTGGATGTGTTCCGTGGCCATTCTGCGGCCGCAATGAAGCGAGCGTCCCGTGTGAACACGTGTAAGTGCGATCCAATTTGCGCAGTTTATACGTACTCACACGCGGTGATCGCAATCGTCGAATATCGGGACCAGCACGGAATTCTTGAACGCCGGACTCGGAAATTCCTCAGCCGAGCAACCACGAGCTAAGGAGTTCCGCGGCTCCACCATGCCAAGCTGACGCGCTCGAGAG